ACAATCTTGATGAAATTTTCAGAGTTTGTTCGCTGTGAATAGAAGACGGTTTAGAAATAAAAAAACTGTATGCTTTTTGTGAGGAAAAGTCGGAAAATTGGGCAATTCCAAAATGTAATTTTTTTTCATAAAAATTTTTTTATGTTTTAATTTTTTTTGTTTTGTCTTTTTCTTTCTTTATTCCGGCTATTCAAAAGAAAAATTATTGACAATTATTCAGGGAAAGCGTTATGTGTGTTTCACACAATGTGATCAATTACGAAGAGGTCGCGCTTATATCGGTCGGCGTTCTTTTTGCCATCAACAGGGCCAACCAGTAGATTGACATTCAGGTGTGTTCTCAACTAATGCCTTAGGACGATTGCTCTAGCTTCGGTTGCTATTGATAAATGTACGTGGTTCAATTTCATTTGAGTCATTGCGTACTGTAAAGGGTACGGTGTATGCAACTTTTTGGGAGCAAGCCAGGAATTACACTTGCTGCTGGCTACTTCGAATGTAAATGAAGTTCGCATACTTTTCGCGATGTTCATTTCGACATAACTCCCTTCAAATCCGACATTGCCGAAAACATTTTACATCGTATTCGCTAAAAATTGGAAATGGTTCAATTCCGTTGATACTACCGGTGGTTTGATATCTTAGCAATGAAGACGACGCCGTGAATTATCCAGTTAATTTCTAAATTCTTTGGAGAGGTTTTGGTATGCCACCGCATAATTTGCGTCTCAAAGTTGGATCTGTCGTTATTATGTTTCTTAATCTTCATGCGCCGAAACTGTGTAATGGAACCCGACTGATTGTGGCGTAGCTATCAAAGGGGCAGAATGATTGATTCTACGAATTCCTTTGAGTTCTAACGATTTGYSATTTCAGTTCAAACGTATTCCGTTTCCAGTGAAAATTGCATTTGAGATGACAATCAACAGGACATATGGATAGTCTCATAGTGTGTGGCATACATTTGGAAATACTATGTTTTTCACACGGCCACACGGTGTGCTCAAGACTTGGAAAACCATCTTTTCTGTACATTGACGCACCGGAACAGAAACCAAAAAATGTTGTTCATCAAGCTGCGTTACATTAAAAAAAATGTAGAAAAATCGAAAATAAATTATTTTCAGCACAATATAAATTCAACTTTCTTTTCATTTCAAACATATAATTTCACACAGGACAACGACTGCGGGGTCAGCTAGTATTTATCTCAAAATCAATAATTTTAATATAGTTTTTTACATTTATTTATTTATTATTTATAAAATAATAATACAATTATTATTACACATTATACATAGAGAGCACTAGTTACAGAGGCTTTCAGCTCAGGGTTTAATTACAAACGACTTAAATAATGAAGATGGAACCTTCCATGTAGGAATTACTTACAAACAATATGTTTTTATGAACTAAAAATTATATGTTATAAATAAGTTTAAAAGGAAGGATAACTTAAATATATTTCTTTAACTTTGTACACGGTAGGAAATCTGATATTTTAGTCATGTTTACAATAGGTGTTATTTTTAATAAATCAAGAGCTTTATTATTCTGAAAGATACTGGTTCTTGCTGAGTTGAAGCAGGGACATTCGTATAGTAGATATGTTATGGTTAAGGACGATAGGCAGGTTGAAATTCGGTTTGCAATTAATAAATGGGAATGCGTTAATGACGTATGATCAAGACGAATGCGAACAAAGGCAACGGCCTGATGATGGATAAGTTTTTTAAATAGTTTACAGCAAAGACAAGGAAATTTTTTGATTTTATATAGCATCAGGAATGTGATGCTTAAAACTAGTATGATGTATCAAAGTATCTTTTCAGAGTAAATAAGCAACTGTAAACAATCAGGATACACCTGTAGAGATGCAATTGACTGAAAATAGGAACTTAGCTTGGGATATTACCATACACCATAAATAGCATGTAAAAACTTTCCTCAAGTTAGTAGAAATTTTACCACTGGGTGGTTTCATTTCAAATCACGCAAATAATTTTAAACTAGTTTGGGATATTGTTAACAGTTTTGTATTTGTATTACTTTTTATTGTATTCGTTCAGTTACAAAACTGATAAATTATTATTTTTTGTTTCCACATAAACACAATCAGCGCATTAGAAATATGTATGTAACCCAATTAAAAATTACTCAAAGGAAAAAATATTGAAATAAAAATCATACAAAACAAAAAAGAAAGCAATATTCTGTGTTATGCTAATCGATAGGAAAATGTAAGAAATCAGTTCGAAAATGTGTCCTAAAACAAAAGCTTAAGAAACATACATTTATCGAATAGAGTTGTGAAAAGATCTAATTTGTTTTTTATTTTTTAAATATGACGAACCTTCAAAATTACTAACAATTACTTTATATATCTCTTGAGATTTAAAAATATTCTAAGACTCGACGATGCCGTAATTGATTATCTATGGCCTCAGGTGGCTTTAATGTCAACAAATTTTTTTTTTTTTGTATAAATGTATGGATACATATATGCATATATGTAAGCATGTGCAAATTGAAAAGCAAAGTATAAATTGTTTTTGCTAATAGCGACAACTTTCGTTTGGCGCTTTCATTATGCTTCTCTTTGACAGCGTTAATGTCATATTGAGTCGAGACTCCGCTAAACTTTAAACGCGCTTTTCACTTATTTCCCATTTGAAACACATTCACTTCATAAGTGAGCATTGTCACTTTCGACTTGGCAGATTCACAAATTTGCATATGGTTTTTCGTCGAAATTCGGGTGAGCTATCTAAACACCAAAGCCGAATGGATTAATAATACATATCTAATATACGATACATATTTACAGGCAAGTAGTCACGTGTAACAAGAGGTATGTATATTCTCTATATTTATAGGCAAGTGAAGCTAAAATGTCTGATATTCAGGAACTCATTAAACTCATAAGTACTTAAGGACAATTGGCATCTATCGATCAATTCAAGAATCCTATTCCTTAAATTATTTCACTTCTATGAAGTACTTTTTTTTTAAATGTATCTATTAGGCAAGTATACTTAARTATTTCTTAAAAAACTCTCTCAGATATGGCTTTTCTCTTTGGACTATTTTATTAATTTAGTTATATTCAAATTTTCGTACTTTGAAARCTGGAAAAATTGCCCATTACTGTCTAATTACCATAAAAATTTTCGGTGGCGAATATTGAAAGTATAACTTACTAAAGGAAATCGCCAAGTGAATGAAAGAAGAACATTGAAAACTAAGTTGTCTTACACACATAAAAATAAGCACGAAGGGCCAATAGACCGACCTTAAAAGCCAAATATTAAATTTCGTTGGTATTCGTAAAAAGCTGGAAGATTCGTTAGCGCTCGCATTCTTTCTACGAAACATTTTTGACTAACTTGAAACCTGTTTATTGCAAAATACAATCGCTGCAGCAGCGAAATCGGCACTAGTAGTCACTATAACAACATTAGGAGTAACAGCAGCAGCAGCAGTAACAGCAACYACAATAACAACAACAACAGCACGGCAGTAGACGAGCTTTTGGAGTGCATATTGTAGCATAAATGATTCTGCGATGCCGGATTGCGAGACAAAGCAGTGCGGTAAAGACCTCCGAATATGTGCCCATTCATTCACACACGAGATACATGACTTACTCGCCATTCATGCAAAATATGTACATTCCTACGTATCCACGTCTGAGCTTATGTGGGTTTGCAAATGTTAGTATTTGGTTGTTTACTTTCGTATACCGTGCAGCTCTATATTTATACTAATAATAATCGCCTCTTGCTTGCTATGAATGTATCTTAGGCGACTAATTCGAGCACTTGGGCTCAAACAAACGCATTCGTTGTTCTATAAAACATTTATGAGAATGTGTGTATGTGAAGATATCCCTCTTTGGCTTGCTTTGAAATGTTTACCTATCACAGATATTTTAATTTGAAATTTTTTAAGCCGACTCGTCTTCATCTGAAAACAATGATTCTCTTTTAACTCTTCACCAACTTCAGTTGTAAACGGAACGAATAGTTTGTAAGTTTACTTCTTAAGTCTTTTGTTATTCCATTTTTCTATTAAGAAAGAAAAAAAGATTGATTCCTTAGATTGACTTAGGGGCTTTCAAGGCCTTTGGTTATCTCTAGTATTAAATGCTATGGAGAACAAGTCATTATTAGAAAATTCAAAAATATTAAAATCTAAAAATAAATTACCAGTAATACTATAGACTTAACGCTATTAAAAGCATAATCAGTATATTATTTATCAATATATAGAAAATACAACAGTTTTATAATTCACTTTCTAGAAATGTATACTTTTTATGTTGCAAATTAGCGATGCGTCGAAAAGAATCGTAACCAAGAAAGTTTAACAAATCAATCAATTATGACGGCCCTCTAACCTGAAAAATAAGACAAAGTTTTATGTTATTTGATTTGTTATATACACTGAACTAAAATAAACATATTTGTGTTCAATTTTGCAAGATACAAAACGAACTGTTACGGATAAAAATAGAGAAGTTTCTATTGTTAATAGTTTCAATAGGTATTCTATTACCAAATAATGTTTTAGTAATAATAAGTACATAATAATTTGTCGTATAACAGCAGTCAAGCTTTGGAGGCTAGAGGCCTCACAATTTGATTCGGAAATGCACATAGTTTCCTGTTATCTCTATTTAATTTCAATTGTTTTCATAATAAATATATCGTACTTGACGAGGTTTGTTAAAGCAATTGAATATGATCTGCTAACTTTTCAATTACGGGAAAGTGATTAATCTTTCTTCACTTGGTATTAGGTATTTTAGAAACACAAATATTTATTATTGTTGTAATTTGACACAATATGACCTTTAGGGCAATTTACGTCATCTTGGTGAGCTCTGGTCTGGCTGGTGCCAACAAAGGCTCATACAAGGCCATTTTACTCATACTCAACTGACGTTTTTATATTTAATAAAGAAAATATACATATATGCGAATTTATGTGGCGTTCAGAACTACTTTAAGTAGCCGCGTTTTCAGCGCTGATGTCACCAGTTGATTCATTTTGGAAAACTTATCTTAAAAGAAGATGATGTCTAGATGCCGCTAGCTAGTCGATATTGCTCTTAATAGTCACATATTTACGTGCGAGTGTGTAACTCGAACCTCAAGTTATCTGGTTGGACTACCACGCATTTAGGTGAAATATGGTAAGAAATGGTCAGAAAATGGGCATGGAGATATTTTTATGCAAAACACATACATAACTGTGTATATGTGTATTTATCCATATTAGAATATATTTACTTCTACAAAACTTAACATCGACACACATATACATAAGTAAGCCGCAAAAGGGCTGGTGAATTATATAAGGTCACGTTGATAGCCCAAAACAACAATTTCTCGATAGTGTTTTAATTCATAATTAATCAAAATTAGCTGTTATGTTTAGTTTTTAGGGTTCAAAATATTTTTTCAAATATTTCAAAAATAATCCAAAATCATCAAAATGTAATCAGAAAATTCATGAGAATAACAAAAAAGTTATTTCGACATGATGGATTCAACATTTGTTTCGCTCCAGAGTAATACAGCCTAATATAATTAAGGGGCCTGGTTTAGAGGCTTAAAAAAATCGACTTTTTTGGAGATTTTTTTGGGAAGGAAAGAAATAAGTGATTAAATCAAAACTTTTTGGGTTTATATTTATATATTTAAACATCATTTACAAGTCTCTTTGGATTCGAAATCTTTGATATTCCGCCTTTGGGAAGCAATTGGCCGATGCGTTTCGCATTGACATTTGTCGGACGGCGGGCAGGTTTAGTTTTTTTTTTCTATCCTGCAATTAAGAAAAATGGTAAAAGTGAAAAACCGAGAAATCGAGAAATCGAGCGTCAAAGTTTTAGCTTTCTGCCCAATCGCAAATATATCTGCTAGACGCTCGGTCACTATTTTCCCTCTAGCTTCGAAAATATTTCAAATTCTCATCTAAAACTTTAAGGACATTTAAGCAAAAAAAATCGATTTTTTGAAGGTTCTAAATCAGGCTCCCCCCTCAAGCCATGGGCTAGGGATACAATAGAAAAACAAAAAAAAATATTGTTTATGTACTTCTGGTTTACCCTTTTGGTTCTAAAAACTAACTCTAGGGATATTTGTAATGAAAATGCTTTCCGTATACGAAATAATTAGTCTTTTAATTGAATTTATTGTAAAAATTTAACTGACTTTGGTAAATACATAAGTCGTTTTTCTTGTAATTCTTCTATTTCGCACCAATTCGAGTTCTTTTGTTCGGAAACTCCTTACAAGAAAAAGTATCTACTTCTACATTTCGAAAGAGAATATTAACCATACTCATGGGGACCATCAGATAGTACTTACCCCCTGATATCATCTGCATATAATAGGCAGGGAGGGCGGATAGCCTTTGTTACATGTATGATAAGGCATAGTCTATCAGATACTGTGATCTGTTAGGAAGGAAATAAGAAGTTTCCAGTAGATTCAATATTAAGTCTGTTAAAAGATTCGGCCTTTCTGTTACGCAGTAAAAATATAATATGAAACTATCCGTACTGACAAGTAGATTCTCATTTTGAACTTTTGCTAGAAACTCCAGATACGAAAATTCAATCAACAATCCCACAAATATATTTCAGAAAACTGCACTGAAATTGTCGAAAGAAACGAACTTTTCTACTTACCTCGTATTTTCGTAGGTCATATCATATAAAGCAATAATCGGTCTCAGTTCAGCTGTTTACTGTTGTTGTAATCGAAACCAGGAATTTGTCATTACTTTCGAGATGAAAATTTAAATATTTCTGAATAAATCAAAAGAAATAATTAAATATAAAAGCAGTATCAGTACAAGTAAATGGAGTTTCCATATATTATATTACAATTTACTCTTTGGTTATAAAGAAAAGACGGTTTAGATGATTAATTTAATCATTTTATAACTGTCAAGTAGATATTACCACCTTATGTCGTTATTAGCTGTTGTGACATCAGAGGAATCGATATAAAAATTGGATGACTGCATTTACTCATCGTCATTTTTCATCATCCATTCCAACAGTGATTGGTTATAAAGAAAATAACTGAATTAGGTTTAAAAACTTAGTAAATTATGAGATATTCTGACATTAAAAATAAAAATCCGGTTGACATCCGGCTGTGACAAATACGCTACTTGATGCTATTTGAACCTACGCAAAATAGTACAAATACAAAAAAGCTCTACTGGCACATAATAATATAACAGCATTCGCTAAGTGAACGCCATCAAGAAAATTACAATTCCTATGCGAATACCACTTAAGCCTTCCAGCGATCAAGCGAAAATATAAAATTCGATCCAAAAATGTGTAGTATGTATATACATGTGTAGAAATGTTTGCTTAGTGCGTTGTACACCTCATCTCAAATTTACATACATTTTAATAAATTAGTAAAGATTTAATGTTTTCTAAAAACAGTTAAATAATAGCTGAGCAACTATTTAAACGTTAATACTTTGAATTTTTGCAGTTGTGTCACATCACGTTTCATGAATAAGCAGCATCGCAAAACGAATCACGCGCAACCACACCAACTGAACTGAAACATCTTTATACAAGGGAAAAGCGGGAAGTGCAATGCAACCCTTCAGCATAGTAGTCAAATACCTTCAATGAGTCCGTCATATCACACGCTGGCGCCAGCTCAGTCAATCAAACATAGAGAAGCACTGAAAACACCTATGACGCTGACCAAGAACAGCTGAAGTGAGAGCGCAGCATTTCAACAAAATTCTAGTGAGAAGAAACCAACGCCAAAAGCTCCAAACAGTGAAATCACAATCACAGTCCAAGACTTTTATTACAAATACAAAAAGAAACATTGCCACAGATGTATCGATTTGAAGTCGATGTCCTTAATTTATGAATGTGTGTATATACGTATGAAACTGTTTTCTATTACAACACAAACTCGCCAAGAAAATGTACCGCCCAAACTTCTATGAATCCACATGCCTGCGGTGCAACGAAATCGTCTACCAAGTGGATCGAGTGGGACCCCTCAAGGACTTCACATTCTTCCATTCTGGCTGCTTTAAGTGCGTCCATTGTGGCACAAAGTTAACACTTAAAACATATTTCAACAATCAGCACAAACAGGACGACAAGGAGGTAAGTATGAAGAGATACTAGGAGGATCAGTTATATCCACATTTTCAGGCTATTCACCATTTTTGATAGTAAACGTTAGCTTTGCTTCAGTCGATCAATTAGACATTTGGACCATTCTTCAGGCAAATATTTAGCATATCGTATTTGCCATTAGTTTCCATTATTCATTAAGGAGATTTTCTAAATTCTAAGGAAACTTTTGAAATCGGAGTGCGTTTCGTAAGTGAATCCACTTTTGTCGCTCATTAACAAAATATTTACTGTTTTGCGAAATTGCTGCGCTAAAGCATTGCTTTGACTAAATGCCATTGCAGAAGAATGTTGTTGAAAGCAAACACACAACTCGCTTAAAATTAGTATCCAGCGTCTGTCTTTGTCTGCAAATGTGTTGCTGCGTGTGTTAGTTTTCCATGCTGGCCAACGACGGACTGCAAGTTTGCGAGTGTTTGTGCCTCCTCACATGTGCATAGTTGCATTTGGCTACTCACCTACATATTATGCACAGTTCTACACACACTCACACTTGCACTCATATGGCACACGACGCTCGCCGTTGCCAGCTTACCTTGTAGGGAAAGCCTGAACAAGCAAAATAAATTTCTGGTTTCCATTAGCTCTACACTTCTACACTTATGTATATACGTAAATAACATTTAGGTTTACTTTTCTACTTGTGAGATCTACCCACTTTTCGATGAGAATAAGGTACAAAGAGTTTATTTTTATTAAAAGTAGTCGAAAATAAGCTTGTTCTACTATTTTGTTTGAACAGTTATATTCTCCGCAAGAAAACCATTTGTGATACTTTGAAAGTCAGTCGAAAAAGTCTTTTCGTATTTCTAATGAAACTTCAACTTATTTTCTTTTATATTTATACTGATAAATAAATAAACAAATATTTACCATTTTTTACCATTCCGCAAGAGATATTATTCCATCAGTGTAAATCAAGACATTTCCAGAACGGAAGCGAGCGAACCATTGTTGTGCTACACGAACTGATTCAGCATCGTCTCCGTCAACTTCACAAATTTCATTGGAGGCTTGCTTGGCATTCCCTTTTTTATACAAAAATTTCAAAATATAGCGAATTTCAATATTTTCAGTCATTATTGAAAAGCCGTTTTATTCAACTTCCCCGAAATTGTATTTTTTCTTTATTAAATGAAACTTAAAATCTCACCTTTCCAACACACAATGTCCATGTTAAAGAAAGCGGTACAATTGCGAAAAATCATTTATTTCCTAAGTAGTGCTAATAATATTTTACAAATAAAATCAAATAAAGTTTTAGTGTTAAAAGGAGAACGACTTTGCATATTTCCGTTGACTTTCAAGAGGACAGAATTAAAGATCTCTGAAATTGCATAGTGCTATATCGCATGTTGTCGAAACTGAAACTCAAGGCCATTGCTTATGGTATCTTATAAACAATCGCATTAATTTATGGTATCAGTTGAGAAGAGGCAATATAAACAATGTGAACTATATTATTTTCGTTTAGGTTTACTGTAGTTCACATGTACCAAAGAGTGGTCCTGGTCATTTAGATCAAACGTCGGTAGGCATAAGGCAGGCTTTGAATGCGCCCCGCACCAACAAATACGTCAATGACCAAATTCGCGGAACACGCACAGAAGTAGATGGTAAGTATTGAACACAATATGCTAATAATTACTAATCATTTGCTAGAAATATGATAATGCACCAATTCAAGCAACCGTTGCCCCTAAACAGCCCATGCCACCATTCATTACTCCTAATGCAGGCGAATAATTAAAAATTATCATTTATAGAGCGCTTGTACATAAATGCCTCTGAACACTCTCAATTAGATATGTATGTAAACACACATGCTTATGCATATACGTATTTAAGATTAAGTTCACCATACAGTTTTGAAATGTGCAATTTGTGCGAGTGTTGTAGCAATTTAAATAAAAATTTTCATTTAATTTTTCTTCGCATGCACTCAGGTGGATTGGGCTCACGTCAATCGACACCAAATGGTTACGGCAGCCGTGATGTTAGCTCCCCGTCACAAAACGATTCCGATTATAAATATGGCCGATTCGACGCCAGCGCACTCCACATTGCGCATGCGCTGAAGCAAACGGAAATACAGAAAGCCTACAACAAGATGAGAGAAAAACCGATAGATTTCTATCTGGTAAGTAAAGACAACGCCAGGTACCCAATTATGTAATAGCAATAAATTAAATCCCGTAAAAAATCCACGCTTCATATGTAAATGTGTGTGTGTGTGTGTGTGTGTTCATTCACCAGTGGAGAAAGTAAATGCGCGCTTTTAATAATACACATTAAAACATACAATTCAATAAATATTTACTCCGAGCAGATTAAAAAAATTAATTTTTTCGGGCTCATACAAAATTAAGACGCTAATAAGGGATGTATGGGGCATTTGAGGTGTCCTGATTATGAATTCCAAAATTATCCATCACGTAAAACTATTCTTGACAATTTAGTAAGTGGTGGTGGATAATCATCATTCATGCATTTCATTCTTTGTTGTAAAATTTATTCACCAGTAAACATTATTCTTGTCGTTTCTGGGCGATTTGTGATCTTAAGATATATAAATTCCCCTCATTTTCTTGATTCCTTGAATATTTTCCTTACAGGAAACCAAAGAACAAAACAAACAATCAATTTTAGTAGAAATCTTTGTTTAAGTGGATTCTTTGGTGATTTTAGCTACTATTTGTAATATGTACCTAATGACACAAGCTCTCAGTGATTATATTTCACTATTTTACTTTACAAAACTTTGATTCAATTGGGATATTGTTTGATCTACATATGTTTAACTTATTGATTTCTCAGTATTTGTTGTGGTTTTGTTGTCATGTGGTTCAAAATATTATCCACAGTTTTCAGCATGTTCACACTCTACATCTTTTAAACTTCTCTTCAATACATACAAATTAACACAAAATTTGGTTTATTTACTAGAAACAATAAATTAATTTTCTGCTTGAGAAATTATAAAATCTGAGAAACCATTATTTTAGTCTACGAAATACGACTATATGAGTATTCGTATGTTATGTGTACTTTATTAATGCGCCAATTTAGTATGTTTATTTATGTAGCTGAAGCAAATTACTTTAGCTACTTCATGCTGTTGATCACGTTGGTGAAAGCCTCTGGCTGTAGGCACGAATGTTGGTGTAACTAAGTAGTCCACGCCAATTATTCTCTCAGCTGGGAGGAGTTCGATGGACTCGGATTTAGACATTGACTTCAACAAAAGTTAGAAAAACCTGTTTGCCTATAAATGGTCGTCTTTCGTCTTGAAATATTTGCATTAGTATGTTCCTAAGACTTCGTGAAAGTATACTTTTTACAAAGGTAGGTAAATCTTCTGCAGGTTGTGGACTTCATCTCTTATCTATGAGCTGATGGGAATAGCGCAATATTCCAGTCATAAAAGTCTTTCCGCATGATATTTTAGTTCCAAAATACTGGATTCCACAGAGACAATGACTAGATGCCGAGTAATTTGAGTATTTTATCACCATCAGGAAAGTTGTGAGTTTACCTTCCAACCAAGTCAAAATCTAAAAGTTCATAGAAAGGCATTTCTTACGATTGTCACTTATGTTATCGTAAATCCGTCATTGAAATGGGATAAATCTTGTAAGGTGTAAATGTCAAATGTAATACTAAGAAATATAGGCTGGGATTTGTTTATGCGCACAATCATGTAGTTGAATCCGCTTTACTTAAAAAAATTAAATACATATGTTTGTACATGTGATCGTGTTCATATGCAAGAGTGAAAGTGTGAGCAACTCAAGCGATCGGTGCCACAAAATGTTGGCGCGTGTGGCAAGTGGCTACTAGATGTGGTTTTACGAGTCGTTGCAACTGCATTTATGCACAAATCATTGTAGTTATCGCTGTGTATATCTTTGAGAACCCCCAACCAACACCCCCCCCTTCCCCTCGTCAGGCAATGCCCGCTTAATGCATTCGTTTTACTCGCTTAGTATTTATTTTCGTTTTTCAATACTTTCTACTTGACTTCATTTTCATTCATTTAAGTATTTCATCACTGTTTATCGCAGTTGTCTACCAAAGACCTCGTGCCACAACCTAGTAGTATTTCTCTCTATGTTGCTTTGCCCATTTTAATGATCTCGGCGTTTCTATTTTTGCGCACAAAGCTATCATACATATGTGCGCAAACAGCAAAACTAAAGTTCGTAATTAAAACCATTGTCACTTAGCTTTGAACGCCTTCAATAAATCCAGCAACTGAACACAAAGGTAGATCTGACTTATCAGGAACCTATACTGATTCTAAATCCACTCCAAGTCACCACGGACATCTGTCTCTTTTAACAACCCGAAGACTTACATTGTGACAATTTCCCATTCCATAGAACTCAGAGCCCACTTTTATCTGATTCTGTTTTCTTATTTACAGATTTTTTTAAAGTATCAAATTTCAAGCTTTACAGTAAAGATGGAAATTATGAAGTAATTAGAATACTATCGCTGAGCAATTTAAAATACCATTGAATCAGAGTTCATTGAGCTCGATTTCCAAGCATTAAAGGCGTCACGGGAGGCATTCTGTGGAAGCGTTTAGATGCCGGCCTTGGTTAGGTAGCTGTTCACAAGTTCGCATTATGAGCTGGGGCGTTATCCTGGTGAAACTTCCAATCGACTGCGATGTCTTGTCGGACCCGATTGACCCTTCGTTTGACTCGCTTGAGGACTGAACCTCTGATTTTGATAATTTTAACATCTGCGCAAATAAACGAATACTTTGTCGGCGGTCTGAGTTCAAAACTTTGCGCACACGAGTCACATTGTCGGTTTTTGTCGAATTCTTCGCAGATCTTCCAGCAGGGTGCGACCTTTTCCCCGACCCTTCAAAAATGCCTAGTGCCACCGAAACATACCAATTTTTGATAAAGTAACATCTGAGTAAGCCTGCTTGATCATATCAAACATCTCTGTCGTAGTTTTAAATTGGCGACAGCTTGTTGTCTAACTGTTCTCATAAGAAAGGGAGTATTTTAATATTTGACAGATCCTGCCCGTCGCTTCCGACTTCGTTAATTTTAATGCTTTCGCAACTCTCTGTCCTTCCCATGACAGCACGATTAAAGCCACTCGCTGTCATTGTACATCAACTGTGGCAAAACCTGCCAAAAACTAATTTTTCATTTAAAACTTCTAATGAAAGACAATGTAAAAGAGTACTTCCTTTTTGCATTGCGCGAAATGTCAAATCATTTAGACCACTGTCTCGCTATTTCATGGTTAACGTATTTAAAAGATTTCAATAACAAAAAAATATTTAAGTCTTTTTTTTTTGGAAAACTGAATGTAACTATTTAACTTTGAATCTTTCATATTAATCAAATTTACTCAACTAGAGTCATCAATGTACTTCTTTATATGTACATATGTATATGTAATCGTATGTATGGATCCGTGGGCAGTTTCCATATTTGATATTTTTGAACAGTTCAATGAATTCGGAGATCGCCGATCACTTTCGATTCCCCAGTCATGAGTTCAACTTCCGACTATGTCGCGTTGGTGTCACTGAGACATAAAATACATAATAACACTACTTTACAGCCATTTTGCGACTGTGATGTTAGAGGCTGTTTCTCGCTAATATTGGGATATTGGGTTACTAAAACCGGAAATGATAGCAAAAATTTCGTAACAAATAAGTTCAAACCGCTACCATATACTAAAATGTCAAAAATTGGTTTACGTGATAGAAAATGTTTCAAGCAGGCACCTCAAATACCCCACATACCTCTTAGCAATCAGTCGCAAATTTTTCCTTCAGATTTATTGAATAGTGTAACCAACAGTAACTTGTAGTTATGACAATCGAATTATAAACACATAAATGGAGGATCGAACGGAGGATAGCTTTTTAGTCAACAACAGTTGGATCGCAAGTGTGTTATAACGGTTCTCCAGTCGATAGGGGTAACGAATACTAAATTCTTCTATAGTTTATTTTACAGTGATCATTTTTAAATCTCGATGGAGAAAGTCATTTCTTTCATAAACAAATCCACCATAGTACGAAGAACTTTATTTTGAATAGCTTGAATAAGTTTAAAAGTTTTAATCAGCTCTGCTCCCTCAGATATTAATTCCATACAACCAGATAGCATTGATGAGTAGCTTGTTCTTCAAACTGAGACAAGATCCTGAACCTAGGAACCTGTACAGCTCCGCAAACCCTAACCTGAGCTAAGTTTTTCACCGCTAGTATGGACTTTTTAATATTAATGTCAATGTTCCCTTTGGTCATACCATTAAAGAGCTTGACGATCATGTTGATTACATTTCCTGTGTGCGCGTGGATTTTGGAGATATTTGACAAACTCATCGTCTTTTTCGCATTAGTTCGGCAACAGATACCTCTGCTGGTGATGGTTGGTGGGCATCTAGATATAAAACTTTTTTTGTTTAGTCGCATTCGAAAGATTATTTTCTGGATCTCCTGAAGCCTCTCTCTCTCAACTTTGTCATAACTTCACTGTCCCGCTTGTGGTTGCTTTGTATGGATCTAGCCACAAGCGTTTTTACGTGGGCAGCATTGTGTATACTGCTGCTTAAGGCTCATTTATACTTTACATGTGGCGATTACAGCAACGTAATTGAATATAAGAAAAATCTCCAACAATGCAAAGGAAATTTATTAAAGAAAACTATTTAAACAGTTCCGATATGTATGTAGAGCTCATATTGTATTAGCAATGTAAAGAAGTTTGAACATTATTTTATTTCATTTTAAACGAACGATTATTTTCAATAATTTACATTTAAATATCCAAATTTGAATCACTTTAACTGAAAAGCTGATGCAAATAAATTACTCAAACAAGTGGGTAAACTAAATTTAGTCGGTTTGGAAAAAACATAACCTATAGGAAAAATACAATCTTTAAATACTTCTTGTGTTTTATTGAGAGCATGCTCTGCCACACGCATTCTGGCCTGAGGTTTCCAATAACTCCCATGAAAATAAATAAACTTTTTCTGATAGATATTCTGATATAGATAATACCCACCATTACTTAAGCAATCCATGCCAAAATTTCGACATAAGTGTTCTAATTGGCCCGTCCGCAAAAAGGTTTAGGTTAAAGAAATTAAAGTATAGAAACTCCGACAAATGTAGAATACAAACAAAATATCCTAGTCGCTATTTTCATCCATATTTTCCCTAATAATCCCCACTTTCTATTTTGCTTAATAAATTAAATCTTAGCGTATATACAAGTATGTATATTGGAAAGCTTCTGACACTTTAGAGCTTTGTTAACTGTTACTTTGCTATAAAGTTATTTCGCATGTAAAAAACTATTCAGAAAACCTGTACTTGCGAAATTCTAGAATACTTAATTGATACGCATACGCAAGCGCACAGTTCACAATGGGAACGGTGTAGTTGGTTGCTTGTACCATTGAATATCGCTGACCGATACAAAGTGGTTTGGGCGAACATAAAACTGCAGTTGAAGAGTCTGAATGCCCTAGGCAAACCGTTGCAGTTTCTCTACTGCAACTCACTCAAGCAAGAAATTATAATTAGCAAACTTAACAATGCGAATCAGCAAAAGCACTACGGAAGTGTGCGAGATGGGGGGGATGAACAGAAATAATCTAAAATAACATATGTTTTCTTTAAAGGAACTATCTAAAATCCATTCTCTGTTGCAAAATTGACCTGCAGTATTAATTATAGACATTTATTTGACAGCATCTTAATAATGGATTTCCAATATATCGGATGTTTTCTTGTTTGTTTTTATATATTAGCCAACACTCTTATTATTCATACCCTAACAAATAAATCTTAGTCAGATTTGAGATGCGAGATCAAATAAAGACGCACGTCTTTATTCCACGAGAACACGGAAAATCTTTAAATCAGTCATTGTCTAATAATTTTAGATTAGAAAACAAATTTTAGTACTGGTCCGAAAAATGCCGCAAGGACAAAGTCCAATTATGGAATTTTACATATGTTTTTTTAGTAGCAGTAGTAAGTAGCATTTTTTATATACTTGTACAAATTTCGTTTTAGCTTTTTCCACGACTTTCGTCATTCAAAATCCTACATCTCACGAACCAATTATCCGACTGCTTTGCGTATTTAGGAGAAAATCATTTCATCTTGTTGCGATTTAATATTATTTTTACAAAAATAAATAAGTATAGTCTTCTTAGTTCCTCATAAAACGCAATTAAACACAATCGTGGTTTTGGTATATACACCAATACACCAAGATGTTTGACGAGAAATATTATATCCTAAAATCTGTGGAAAATATGACTCTATCGCATATAAAAAGTATGTTGGTTGCGATCTGTTCCGTTACTATTATATTTTAATGATATTTTAGGTGTACATATTTAGTTAACTTCTATATGTTTTTTTGACGTTAGCTCTTTGTTCGCTTTGCTTGACATGATTAATCTATTAAAATAGGCCCGAGAGGAGCAAGCGCGCCTTGAAATGAAACATCGTAAAGAGGAAGATGATTTATACCGTAAATTTGCCCGCAAACGAGAGGAAGAAGATCGCAAAATACAATCTGAATTCCAAGACGAATGGGAACGTGAACTACAGCGCCTCACTCACAAATTCGAAAAAGAATTAGCAACTTCTCGGCGCAGTCGAGATGATCAAAATATGCTCACGCTGCGGCATGAACAGCAGAAGGAAGATCTGGAAAAAAACATGACACTGCGGCGYAGCAAAAAGAAAGAAAGCATCACACGTAAAATGCTAGAACATGAGCGATATGAAACAGCCGCTCTAGTAGATCGCCAGTCGAGTGAAATGTTGGAATTGATTAGTGCGCGGCGCTCGGAATACATGCAAAATGAGAGTATCTTTTTAGATGACGATTTCGATGAAGGCGCAGTCCCACTAGAATATCCAATGGTTGCTCCAATACCAGCTCCACCAGCCGTTAGCAAATTCCAAATATATACTGATCCTATTGAATTTGAAGATGTCGATCGCATTGCAATATCGGTGAGTTAATAAAATAATAAATTAATATTTTGTGCATAATTTTTAATGACATAATATAAATGTATAAATGTCTAATATTTAAATGAAAAAGGTAGCACAAGAGGATCAGAAGACCTTCACGGACTTAGTGCGGCAGTTAGTCGGTCGTTGTACCACAGACATAGAAAAGGCTCGAACGATCTTCCGTTGGATAACTGTTAAAAACTTAAATGCAATGCATTTCGATGATGATTTGCGGGGTGACACACCCATGGGCTTGCTGCGAGGCATAAAATACGGTACAGAGAGCTATCACGTACTATTCAAGCGACTTTGCAGTTATGCTGGCCTCCACTGCGTAGTAATTAAAGGTTATTCGAAGAGTGCTGGTTATCAGCCAGGTGTCAAATTCCAAGATTCTCGGTTCCGCAACTCTTGGAATGCGGTATATGTTGCGGGAGCTTGGCGTTTTGTACAATGCAATTGGGGCGCACGCCATTTGGTCAACGCGAAGGAAGCACCTAAAACTGGACGCGGAAAAAATGACAGTTTAAGGTAATCAACACATTGACAAAATTCAGAAAATTAACATAAAAAATTCTAGCAGATATGAATATGACGATCACTATTTCCTTACCGATCCTCGGGAGTTCATTTATGAATTTTACCCCTTACAAGAGGAATGGCAACTGCTTAAACGACCCATAACTCTACGGGAATTCGAGAACTTACCGTTTGTGCGATCGCTTTTCTTCCGTTATGGGCTACATTTCGCCGATGAAGGTTATGGCGCCGTAGTCTTCACAGATGACACTGGTGAGTTGCACATATTAATTATACGCCGTATTACATACACATTCACTAACTTGTATGGATTTGTATTAATGCATAGGTGCCGCCACTGTTCGTATTGCCATGCCAACAGACATGCAAAGTTGCCTGATTTTCCACTACAATCTTAAATTTTACGATAGCGACGAAGACTCCTACGACGGTGTCTCCCTGAAGCGTTTCGTTATGCAATCAGTCATTGGAAACATTGTAGCTTTTCGTGTACATGCGCCGTGCTCAGGAGCATTTCTTCTCGATATATTTGCCAATGCTGTAACCCCACAGGAATACCTCACTGGCGAACCTATGAAATTTAAGTCCGTCTGCAAGTTTAAGGTTCGTCAACCAATATTATTTCTAAAGTTTCATTTACCTCCATATCAATGCAATTATATTAGCGGCAAAATATAAATTTTAAGTAAAGCAAATTTAGCATCACCAACCGAAAATTCATTATAATAGGTTAGGTTAGGCGGCTGATCTAGAGAGATCGTGAACTGCTATATGTAGTCCTTTGTGAAGCCATAAAAAAGAAGTACTTCTGTGTTCGATCTTTATGTTAGCAAAGCGATTAGTGGCCAATACAAATTTGCACAGGCGTTTAATATCCTTTCCCACTAATTCGGTGGGTTGTCTGAAGGTCACGCTCCCAAGTTCTTAAACCTTGACTTCCCAAACGCGGAAAGAAGGAAATGTTAACAAGTTCACCTTCTTCCATACAACTACTTCAGTCAAAAGAATTTTGCAATAGCGCATGTACTGATGGTAGCTCAGCGCTTGCCAAGAGAATTCGGGAGCAACGACCCATGATAGCGGTTCTAAAGTGCCTTTCCTTGCTAGCTCATCAGGATTACAGTTACAGGAACACCAACCCTGAATGCACTGTTAAAGGGTTCAAGGCTAGTATCGCCGCCCTGCTATCTGAGTGGATGGTCACTTCTCTGAATGATACTGAAACTGAAGTTGATAGAGAGCTCCTGACAGTAAGCCCCTCCACCAACTTTCCCCTCCCCAAGCTTTGACCCATTCGTAAAGAAGCGTACTGCCCCTCTCCTCCAAGGACTTCTTTTCACCCACAACTCCCTCGCCGCTATGTGAGCAGAGAAGAAGTCGCCAGAGTTCAGTTTGGCAACTCCATGATCCAAGAGATCCGGTATAAAGTGAAGTGTTTACGAGTGTTCAGACATGCCTTCGTTTAGGAACCAAGATTATCTGAGTTTGATAGCAACTTATGCAGCCATACACCTTCCGTCGATATCCATGCAGACCATGTGCAAAATGGCATTATATGTAATAATCGGAGTGGACCTAAGGGCAGCACACATGCTAATGATCGCCGCCCGTTGAACGCTCATGCAAGCGTGATATTTTCTAGAGCAATCCACAATATAAAGACTCCATATAACATAATGGGCCTGACTGTGGTGTCGTAGAGCCAGAGGACCTATGTTGGCGAGAGGACCAACCTTTTGCCAATGGCTCCACAGCAGTACAGTAGTATAAGGCAATAACTGCCATTTTTGCTCTCTCTTCGATATTCGGCTTCCTATCCCCCCGGGAACTTAAAAGGTTTGAATGAATTGATCGCCCAAGTCAAGTGCCATTCACCCAGAAGGTCGACAACGGCCGCGCAATCTTTTAACACCACTCCGAGAGTTACCTCCCTATGGAACACATTGCTCGGGAAGTGACGATCAAGGAGCATCCGAAATGTATCTTCCCTACAAAGGTACGCCTGAAACTGGAGGACTCATTTGCAGCTTGCCACTTTTTCGCAGAAACTTTTCCATGAAGTCCTTGGCCTTTCTAATCTCGATCTTGTATATTACAAGTCCCGTTTAATATAACGTCCAATAGTCAGTTGACCCTGATTTCCGAGAGTTCTATAGTTCTTTGGGTGTTTTCAGTGGACAGGAGCTCTTCAGTGCAGATTTACACTCAAAGCTAAAGGCTTCTAACCACTACTAGTAATCAATGAGTTTACTCCCGGTGTCAGTGGAACAATTTGTCCGAGCCTTTTGCGGAACACTTCCTAGTTTGTATTTCTAGGATTTCTATAAGACTTTATAGATGGGCATTCTCCGTCTAGATTGATGTTCCTGTGCCCTGATCAAAGAAGAAGTGATCGCCAAGGATCCTCCAGTTTGAGATTAGAGGTGCAATTCCGTTCGAACACAGGGTGAGTTCGAAAACCTTCTACCTACTTGCAGTCAAGAATATAGGAGAATTTTCCCTATTACAAATTAACAAGTTTCCGCTAACAATGAAATCAAAGAGCGACTCACCTCTTTTAATAATTTCTTCGTGAGGCTTCAGCAAAGATTTTCCTCAACAGTAAGGGAGGTGGTTCCACCTCATCTTTATGCGGCATGTATGCTGAGATTAGCCAGAAATCTCCGGAGTCGCATTCTATTTTTGCCCTAACTACGTCAGCGCTGCTGAAATTTCGTAAAACAAATACCGTTAATTCATTTTAGACCCACATACTGGCTCTGGTTCTAACTACATCGTTGGTCGCCAGCAGCTTATGACTATTCGTCCTCAACATAAAAATGCCGCTCCTAGTAAATTGACCTCGGCCGCCTTTGCAAGTTGGTTATTCTGAAAGAATGTTATTCTTCAGATGCTCCTCTTGATGCGCTAGTTTAGCACCCACATTGTGTTTGACCCGCATCTCTTCACACAGAGGTTTTAGACTGAAGACGAAGTCGCCAATTGACGAACCGCCCCCAAAAATTCGGAAAGCCCTGGGTTTTTCTTCATGGTTGTTTAACCATCTCCTTCTCTTGTATCCAACCCTCCTGACATTCGTCGGAAGTATTATAAGGACCACCTTTTCGAATCCATAAACCCTTATGGCTCCCTTGGTTTCGTTGAAAGTACCGACAAACTCCGTATTAAGCGGAATCAGCACTTGACGAGAGGATTCCTCGGTTGCTGAAGAAGGTTCAGCTGACAACCAGACACGAGCCTTAAGGCGAAGCGGAAGGTCCGGTTTGTCCACAGCCTGTTATCTGGTTTCTTTCCAGAACTTTCACATTTTGGGAGTGGCCCAGGGTTTACTATGACCAACTTTAAAATTACTGAGGAGATGCCATCATCCTCCCTGCCGAGATCGAACAGGCCAAGCTTTATAGAGCCAGTGTTTTGAGCAATTTCACTAAAGGTTTGCCCAGTTCCAGTTCCCAGTCTATTACCAAGGGAGGCTTGGTATCGTATCAAGCAGCACTCCAACCCCCACCAGGTACTGATGTGGGCATCGATTTTGACCTCCCTTCACTTCCCTTTACCGTCAACTTTGCATAAAGTTTTATGTTAAAAGGTAGTCGCCTTCAATGGTAGCCGCCCAAGGTAGTCTCAGGTTAAGGCGAGTCTTCAGAGCCGTGAAGGCTACAGGTCATTTAGCGTTACCTAGAATGCATCAACTTGAATGAAGTCCGTCAAAATAAAAATTTCCAGTAACATGTTCGATCTTGGATTCCTAATTATGTAAAGGATAACATGATCGCTGCAATGTATGCACATGTTGTAACATTCAAACTATCATTTGGTACAATTTCTGTAAATAGCCTCGAACTTTTGGGCGAAGTCAGCTGCTCTCCATTCATATGTTCACAATACATTGTTAATCACACTTCATGCGAGCACCAATCACAGAGCAGTATAGTCGTCCATTCAGGCGTTTTATTACGTTTAACAATTAATTTTCTTTTTATAATCTTTTTAACTATGTTTTAAAGAAAAATTTCAAAAACCTACATATCTGTGTTGTTCTATTTGAATTACATATATATGAATAGCTATTCCCTATAAAAGTTATAAAATACTTTTATAACCTGCTTCTCCTGTCAAGTATCTAAAGAAATGTATCTGTCAATTTTGTCCTCTTGAAATTTCTCTGTGACTCATTTTAATTGGTAATTGTTACATTAATTCCCTGAACAAGGGATATTAAGTTTGCAAAAATGTATGTATGTCTATAGTGTAAGTATGTTTATATGTATATAAACAAGTCCCTCCGTTTTAAAGATACCGATATCAGATCACTGTGGCATGAAATTTCAATCAAGTGTATGCTCAATTTTTTTTTCAACGAGATATCTTCAATTTGGAGATGCGTTATTGAGAAAGGAATTGTTCATTCGCCGAAGAAATTGTTCGGATCTAGTTACTATAGCATATTGTTTCCATACAAACTGACGGATCAAAAACAAGTTATTATAAGTAATATTTTGTAGTTGTGAACAGATGTACTTAGTTCAAGATTTGGCTACTGTTATAAAGGGAAAACATACGGCTTTACTTTCAAAAAATATATGTTTATAATTTTTCATAATATTTAGATATGTTGCGAAGAACTACAAACAGTTATGGTACCGTTGCCGGATTGCGCAAGTGGTGAATGGGGTCCTACAAAAGCGACTAGGCTTTTTGGATTAATACCCATAACACACCAAGTAAGTACAGTTTTGAATTCGTATACTCCTTAGAAGAGAATCGTTCACAACCTCTATATATCTGCAATATAGACATTGTCTTTAGAATAAAATTATAATCAATCATCATTAATTGCAGGATCCACTTATATTTGCCGGACGAAGTTTAGACCTTCAATTTCGCATGTCAAGGCCTTTGACAGACTTCATGGCCACTCTGCACAAGAACGGTGTGGAAGAAAAGAAACTTTCCAAATATGTGACGCACAACACGTTAGATGACATTGTGACATTCATAATAAAGTAAGTGGTACAAAATCTTAAATTCCAACATGACTGATAACAATTTTTTACAGTTTTCCCGAGGAGGGTCAGTACGGTTTAGACATATATACTCGTGAAGCTGGAACCATGGCTTCGCACCATAGTCACTCTGCGTCAACGGGAGAGAAACACTTGCTCACCCACTGCTGTAAATACTTAATCAATTCATCGAAGCGGAATTAAATAGGCAGAAATGCATAAAATATACAACTGTATGAAATTGTTACAATATTTTTAGTGAAACGCAATAATTACCAATTAGTTGTAAAAGTTTTGTATGATTAATACCGATTATGTTTTAAAAGTAATCTCATGCATATTACTTAATACATATTAAAATCCAAATAATATTGAACTGTGTACAATTTTACAAATGCATATGAACAATAAATATATAATACATACCATATATGTGTACTATAAATATAATTAATTGAAATATCGACATTAAATCATTGACCCTAGACATTAAATATCTCTGATTCTGCAGAGATTGATTCAAGGACTACCGGTAATACATATAATTGTTTAGATGTTACGCATAGTCGGTGAAATTAGACACCAGGCGTACAAAGAAATAAATTTGGGGGGGGCGGCGTTTTTCCGATCAAATTTTTTATCGTGATAAAAAGAAATGAGAAAGATAAAAATACTTAGTGCTGCCAATAGCTATCCTTTATTATTTGGTGTTCAAAATTTCTTCGCACGAAACATTAACAACTCTCTCTATTCTCGCCAGCCGTATTCCGCAAGTAAGTTTTCAGTCTTTCATGCGCACCAGACTTTATCTGTTTTAGGATGCGCCTTTCCAGTCTGGCATTTAAAATTAACTTTCGTCCAACAGTGTTTTTTATCATGAAGATCTTATTGATTGTCTTATTTTTGAAACCACGCGGTCAGAAATACCAAAAAGCTTAATAAACCTTTTCATTTCTTCCACTTGTATTGCATTTATATATGTCATCTTTAATAAAGTCAAATTTAGGAAAATAATCAAAAAACAACAGAAGTACTCACATTTTACTACAACTGAAACGTAAATATTCCACCACAATTATTTATAGGATAAAAAGAAAAACTTGAAAAGCAGAACAATGTTACGGTGATCAATACTTCTCTAAAATGTATGTGATCAATTAGTTGACATATAGTTGTATATTTCAAGTATAATGTCACTGACAATTTTCCTTCTTAATTTTTTTAGCGATGTCGCTATGAGACATGCCTACATTTTCAAATTTTTTGCACAACGTTAATTTTCGAATGAGACACGAGATATTTTTTACTACTAGTACTAGTACTAGTATAGAAGGTTCACTGTACTGTTTTATTTTACAAATGCCTGTAATACTGACTTCGAAAACGTCAATTGTAATCTTTAAGAAAATAGTATAATATTCTGTAATTTTCTGACATTTCATCATGTGTTATTATGTTTTATTATTTTTTCAAAAATTTGCATTTAATTAAGATATGGCAAAAAATGTAATCTATATACATACATCTATTATGGTTTTCAACTCCACGCGGATCAAAATAATTGAACTTATTTATTGCTCATTTATTTCTTTTCGTTATTGCTCAGGAAAAGGTAAACAATTATTAAAATGGATATTCGTTTTGATTTATATTGTCATGACAAAAAATTTTAGAGCCAAACGTGATATGCTTCGAATAAGTAAAGACATAGAAATTCATAAGACCAAGTAATACAATCACTTTTTTTACCAAACGATGAAGGAATGTTTCTATAAACTCCTCAGTTCCTTGCTGCCGATAGTTATGAAGAATGCATTTTAAATTATTTTATCTTTGAGCTAAGAAAGCTACGATATCTTTAGTTGTTACAAAACCTTCTTCTAATAGCCCAAACAGCCAAAAACGTAGACCCGTGGCCCGTGTCAGCTGATACGACCTATCTTATGGGCGCGCAATGTAAGTGAAGAGCGAAAAACGCTACTCCCTTCTCTCTTTGCCGTCGAAACGTGTCAGCTGATTGCTCTCTCATAACGCAGGGTTGGCAATCTCGATATAATGTAGTAATTATAAAAGTTGTTTTTAATTTGTTTGAAATTTTCTTAAAATAACTAAGGGAGTAGCGTTTGTGGCTTTTTCTGCTATAAATATTATGAGCACCATATTCGTGCGTTGTGGATAAAAATCCAATGACTGACGCTTCAAAATTGTAATTTTACGAAAAAAGCATATTTTTAGGAGTGGTAGATTGTATTCAGTTTTTATATTCGAAACACTTCCCACGATCCTTTAATTTTTCCAATGTTTTCAAATTTTGGCTTGTCTCGTACGAGTACACATGTTTCACTTTTCCATGGATTACCCACAAATCCTGACACAAAACTGATTCAAATAGTTTGAAATTATACATAAAATAGTTCTTTTTTCTTTTCTATTAGTATTTTACCAAATAAATTAATTAATGTTTAACTGCAACTGATCGTTAGCAGTTGAAAATGCTTGATTCTCTAGTCAACACCACTGGCATGAAGTATAAAACTGCAAAACCAAAAAAATTGGAGTTTGACAACACTTCAACCGAAATTTTTTTCTACAAGTTATGTTGAAACCATAAACCCGAGTTTCAAAACTTCAACCAAAACGCAATTGGATTTATACCATAGTATCTTAAATATGTTTGTGTTTTTATACTCTTGCAACCAGTTGCTACAGCTTTGTTCACCTAACGGTTGTACGTATCACCTAAAACTACATGAAATAGAGTTATATGTACATATGCATGTATAAATGACCAGGGTGACGAGAAAAGTTGAAATTCGGGTGACTGTCTGACTACCCGTCTTCCCGTGCAAACTGTAACTTGAGTAAAACTTGAGACATCTTGTTGAAACTTGATATGTAGTGCCGTAGTGTGAAAAAAATTACTAGTTCGTAGACGAGCGTAATCGAAAACCTAAATCTAACACTAAATTAAGATATAAAACCATAATTTGGTACAGGGGGTCGTAGTAGCAAGAGGCTCTTTTGGGAAAACATTTTGGAAAAACTAATAAGAACATATCTCGTAAACTACCAAATTTTCTGAGCGCAAATATTATAAGAACTACCGACCGTGTGAAAATTTAATTCACTCCCCATATAACGATTCTATTAAAAACTACTAAAAGCGCAGTAAATACGCCAGAGGTATCAAATTTAAAACAAAAAATTTAACAATGGGCGTGACGTCGCCCACTTTTCGGTTAAATCCGAATTACCGATTTAGTCAAAATTTAGAACATAGCATCGCTTTCATATTCTTATATCACAGTACGAAAGTGGTCGAAACCGGACTACAACTACTACTATACGACGATATTGATATAATTCAGCGAATTAAAGAAAGCGGCTACGATGGCTAGGTCATGTCGTCCGCATGGACGAAAACCCTCCAGCTCTGAAAATATTTGACGAAGTACCTGTTCTTCATTGGAAAAATCAGGTGGAGAAGGACCTGACTTCGCCTTGAATCTCCTATTGCCGAAAAGCAACGAAAAAGAAGAACGAAACTCTGCTACATAAACCGTATGTACGCCAAAAGAAGAAGAAAGGGAACGTCATCATATTCTTTTAGGTTGGCAAAGTTTAAAATATTTGTCCAGCCCTTGTCCAAAGTCGCATTTCTCAACTTCCTCCAAAGATGTAATAACATCTCTGAAGTTAAATTTTTTTTTATTGATACGAACAATTCCCTTTCGTCGGAGAAAATGGCGTTTCAATTCGAAAGTGCGGTGTCAAGAAGAAGTAAAGACTTTTGAGGCAATCCGACTAGAATTTAGCCTAGTTAAAGAATATATTTGGTGTACTTGAAAAAGAACAAAAAAGTAGTAACAGTACATTAGAATTTACGGGATCTACGATGCAATATATACAGTGACTCACAAAATCACGCTTCAGTTGAATATTCATTTCTTTTTTCATTCCGTCTTGCATATGCAGTCAAACACAAATTCGACTGAATACTTATGTTGCTTGGTGTTTGATGTACCGTTATCTACATGTTTTACGTCGCCACCAAAATTAGCGGTAAAGTAAAATTTGAACAATACGCAGAAGGCAAGTGTGATCTTTCGCTCGAAGTGTTTGGACGTGCGCAAAAAAGTGAATTCATTAAATAGAATASTTTGAATTATTTGAAAAATATAGATATAAAAGGTAAGAGAAAATATGCATACGTTTTTCCGCCGCTATAGTTGCTTATATCTTTGGCAGACATGGGAAAAAAGAACATGGTTATCTCCAATGGAGTTAAAGRCGAGGTGAAAAAATTGTTGATTGATGGTGTGACTCATCGCGAAATTTCTCGAAGGCTGAAAATCTCCGTTGGCATTGTGAGTAAAATTCGCAGAAAATTTGCAGATTTATTCATTAAAAATTGTCTTCCAACAGGACAATGATCCGAAGCACAGAGCAAGAGCGACTCGCAAATGGCTCCAGGACAATAGTATTAGTACACTAGATTGGCCTCCGCAATYTCCGGACCTCAACCCCATCGAGCACCTGTGGGGTATATTAAAAAAATCGGTCGCCGGCGAAGTCGGCTCATTGAGCGAATTATGGCCTAAGGTGCAGCAGGCGTGAGATTCTATTTCGTCAGAAACATGCGCAAATTTGTGTTTAAGTATGCCAAGGAGAATCAAAGCCATTATAGATGCCAAAGGAGGCTATACGAAGTATTAATATTAATTTTTAACCCTGTTAATATTAAGTCACAAAATTGATCACACTGAAATATTACTTGTGTTTTATTCTTTCATATTATATCTTAAAAAAAAACATAAAAAATTTCGAAAATATCAAATCATTTACGAGTTTTTTATCATCGCTTAGGTACGTATTGATACCGTGATCAATTTTGTGAGTCACTGTATACATAAATTTAAAAACTTAAATTACTTACAAGAAAACGACCATTTCATAGCTTCTGTAATTTATTAAGCTACTAGGGGATCCGGCCCACTACGTTGCTGTGGTATACATTTTATACTCTATATGTATATGTATGAGTATAAACTATTCAATACAGTGAGAATTTTACTTACGTATAAAGATCGGTATAAAAGTCCATGGGGTTGTACGAGTACTTGCAGTTTAATTTTGAATATGTTCATACAAATAAATTTCATTGGAAAAAGTAACGAATTTAAGGCTGCTTTCTCAATGTTTGGCCTTTCAGCCTTTCTGTTTAGTTAATAGAGTTGTCCGGGCCATACAAGCCACACATGTGCGTTCAATCTGTATGAAATCGTTTCGCCATACAAGCATACAAACCCATTTGTGTTCGTTCTTCACACAGTAAATGTGTGCGACAAGCAAGAGGAAAATTGTCCGTCCGTGATCTTTCCTATTCGGCGATAAGAGAGAAATGAAATTTT